GGGAGTTCCAGAAAGAGACTTTGGGGTCCACATTTAATAGTGGCATCTCATTTACAAAGTGGAGCTCCTCCCAACAGATGCACTGGATTGGAATGTCTAAACAGAAAAGTGTGTTAATTCAAGAGAGGGCAAAGAAAGACAAAGGCAGAGACTGAGAGGCGTTTGAAATTTCTACCGAGACATTTGGGATACTCCTAGGAAGGAATGATGGAAAAGTCGTAGGATTTACGGTACCTAATGTAGCACCAGTATCATTTAGATGTGCGACCTTCTACTTTTACAACTGCATGGAAATTTCTCCCTTTGTGTTTAGGACAATTATGAGTTGACAAGAGCAACTCCTTTCATAGAGAAGGGTTGTTCTCTCAATGTTTGTCCTTTTCCTCTTTTGATTTTATGTTTCCTGCTAGAGTAGAGCAAGTGTTTTTCTCCTGTCCCTTTTGCTTACAATATAGATGGCTGTTTGGGGGTCAACTTAACATAGATGTGTCCTTGTTCTTGGGTTTGTCTAATTGCTTAATCTGACAACTATGAATTTGATCTGATATTTTTTTCTTTACTTCCGAGTCAAAGCATCTTCCAAGTTCTCAGCAAGCTGTTATAAATTAGAGAGGAGAGACAGGCTCGTATCCTATCTTCCGTTCTCTGAGAAGTTTTCATTTCTTCTTAACTTCTTTTGAGACCAGAGCATTCCTGGAAGGTGATAGTTAACCAGTCTGTGAAACCAGGCATGGAATTACGTTTCCCTGTTTATGGAAGTGGAATGTTTTTTAACTGTGGCAAAATATAACATAACAACATAAAATATATCATTTTGACCATTTTGACATTCACAATTCAGTGTATTAAATATATTCATGTTACTGTGTAACCATCAACACCACCATCTCCAGAACATTTTTATCTTCCCAAACTGAAATTCTGTACCAATAAACATTAACTCTCCATTGTCCCTTACTGCCCCGCCACTGGCAACCACCATTCTATATTCTGTCTCTATGAATTTAACTGCTCTACGTACCTCATATAAGTGGAGTCATATAATATTGGTCCTTTTGTGACTGGCTTATTTCACTTAACATTGTGTTTCAAAATCCCTCCATATTGTAGCCTGTGGCAGAATTTCCTGCCTCTGTCAGGCCAAATAATTTTCCATTATGTCTATATATATATAGCATTTTATTTATCTGTCTATTCTTTGATGGCCATTTGGGCTGTTTCCGCGTTTTGGCTATTGTGAATAAGGATGCTATAAACATTGACATACAAATATCTGTTCAAATCCTTGCTTTCAGTTTTTTGGGCTATATACCCAGAAATGGAATTCCTATATCATGTAGTTATTACTCTGTTTAGTTTTTTGAGAAACTGCCATTGTGTTTTCCACAACAGCTGAACCATTTTGCATTCCCAACAGCAATGCACAGGATTCTGATTTCTCCACTTCCTTGCTAACACTTGTATTTTCCTGTTTTTATTTTGTTTTGTTATAATAACCATCTTACTGGGTGTGAAGTGGTATTTTATTGTGCTTCTGACAAGCACTTCCCTAATAATAATATTGAGCATCTTTTCAGGCTTATTGGTCACATGTATATATTCTTTGGAGAAATGTCTTTATGATTCCTTTGCCCATTTTGTAATTGGATAGTTTGTGTAATTATTGAGTTGTAGGAGTTCTTTATATATTCTAGATATTAATCCATTAAATATACAATTTACAGATATTTTCTCCTATAGATGATAGTTTTAGTCAGTTGATAGTGTCTTTAGATGGATAGCACTTTTCAATTTTGATAAAATCCAAATAATACATTTTTCTTGTTGTTACCTTTGCTTTTGGTGTCATATCTAAGAAACTGCTGCCAAATTCAACTTTCCTTTGATGTTTTCTTCTAAAAATTTTATAGTTTATCTTTTACATTTGGGTCCTGGATCCATTTTGATTTAATTTTTGTATATGGTATAAGGTACGGATTCTTTGCATTTGGATATCCAGTTTTTCCAATGCCATTTGTTGAAAATATGGTCCTTTTCCCATTGAAAAGTCTTGTCATCCTTGTTGAAAATGATTTGATTAGACATGCCAAGTTTTATTTCTGAACTCTCTGTTCTATTCCATTGGTCTATATATCTGTCTTTGTACTAGGATTACACTGTTTTTTTTTAAACACTTTTATTGTGGTATAATTCCTGTACAGTAAACTACACCTATTTCAAATGTACAATTTGATGAATTTTGATTGATGCATACACCAATGAAACCGCAACTGCAATCAAGATATACCACACTATTTTGATTACTGTAGCTTTATAGTAAGTTTTGAAATCAGGAAGTATGAGACATCAAACTTTGTTCTTTTTTAAGGTCATTTGGCTTTTTGAGGTACCTTAAGATTCTATTTGAATTTTAGGATGGATTTTTCTATTTTTGTAAAAAGTATTGGAATTTTGATAGGGATTGCATTGAATCTGTAGATTACTTGGAGTAGTATTAATATCTTAACAATATTAAGCCTTCTAATGCATGAACCTGAGATGTCCTTCTATTTATTAACTCTTCTTTAATTACTTTCAGCAGCGTTTTGTACTTTTCACTGTACAATTATTTCACCTCCCTGGTTACGCTTATTCTTAAGTATTTTTTATGCTACTGTAAATGGTATTTAAATTTCCTTTTCAGACTGTTCATTTTTAGTGTATGTAAACAACTGATTCTTGTATGTTGGTTTCATATCCTGCTCCTTTGCTGAATTCTCTTATTAGTTTAAACAGGGTTTTTGTGCAAAATCTTTAAGGTTTTATACATAGGAGATTCTGTTGTCTGTGAACAGAGACAATTTTACTTCTTCCTTCTCATTATGGATGCCTCCTATTTCTTTTTCTTGCTGAATTGCTGTGGCTACACTTCCAAAATTACACTGAGTAGAAGTGGCAAAATTCAGCATTCTTGTCTTCATGATCTTAGAAGAAAACCTTTCACTGTTGAATATAATGTTATCTATGGGTTTTTCAAATATGCCCTTTATTATGTTGAGGCGCTTTCATCTGTTCCTAGTTTGTTAAATGTTTTTATAATAGAAAAGTGTTGCATTTTGCCAAATACTTCTTCTACACCAGTTAAGATGACGATACATTTTCCTTCTTTCATTCTTTCATTTAATATGATGTGCTACATTGGTTGATTTTTGTATGTTGAATTATCCTTACATTCCAGGAATAAATCCCACTTGGTCATGTTGTGTAATTCTTTTAATATGCTACTGAATTGAATTAAATTTGTTAGTATTTTGCTGAGAATTTCTGCATCAATATTAATAAGGGATGTTGGTCTGTCATTTTCTTTCCTTGATGTGTCTGGTTTTGTTATCAAGGTAATTCTGGCCTCATAGATTGAGTTAAGAAGTATTTCTTCCTCTTCAATTTTTTTGAAAAGTTTGAAAAGGATTGCTGTTAATTTTTATTTAAATGTTTGTAGAATTCATCAGTGAAGCCACCTGGTCCAGGGCTTTTCTTTGTTGGGAGGTTTTTGATTAGTAATTCCATTTTGTTACTAGTTACAGGTCTATTCAGATTCCCTATTTCTTCATGATTTAGTTTTGGTCGGCTGTGTGTTTCTAGTAATTTGTCCACTTCATCTGGTAGGAGTGGTTTCTGACCAATGAATTTTGGACAAGAGAGACCTCAGGGATAACTGCTAAGAGTTCTTGTCCTGTTTTTATGCTCTTTATATATCTATCCATAGTTAAATACTGTCACATATTTTTAGTATTGTTTTGGTTAGCAGTTCATTTTGCTTTTACTAATCAAGTTTTGGCATATTCTGGCTTCACAAGATGAACTAATTAACAGAGATCAGGGAGTCCAGGACTCTAAATCCTAAGGCAGTCTTAAATTCTTCAGGGAACTTGTGCCTTTTCTTAAAAGTTAGACAAATCATTAACTAAATTATGTAAATCTTGTCTGGACCATGGTTTAAAGCTATAAAACCTGCCAGGTTACCCATTATACTTATACACCTAATAAGATTTCATGAAAGCATAGTGTCTAGGGAGAAGGATATGTTTAAGGGGCAGTGGAGGAAAGAGAAGAGGGTCTGTTGAAGATGCAGGAAGAAGAAAAGTGGTGAGGCAAGGGGGAGAAGGAAGCCAGGGTTCAGAGGGGTAGGAAGGAGATCAACCCTGCGTTGGGTCATGAGACAGGGAAGTAAGTTCGATTTTTAGATCTTCCAAGTTGTCATTAATCCTTTCTAAGGTATCCTTAAGGAAAGCAATTTTAATTTTTTTCTGCCTTTTAGGGTTTTCCTGTCTTTTGAAATCAACCCCCCCCAAAAAAGCCTGACTATTGATATTTAGAATATTTGAATTCTTTGATCCTAAGGCAAAAGATAATTTTATTCTTATTTCAAGTTTCCCAGAATATCAAGTAAAGAGGAAATGCGAGTGTAACTACATCAGTGAAATTCTGTGTCTGCCATAGCTCAGCAAAATACTAGTATGCAGACTTGAATATAGTATTTTTACCTCCTCTCACTTAATTAACCTTTCCACTGGAAATATTTTGGTTTGGTTAAATAAGTATAGTTTGGTTAAAGAAATTATCAGCAAAAGCAATACAAATTTATCAGTTATTGATTTCTGAATCCACTCCACTTTCCAAAAAAAAATTGCACTAAATAGAAAAGTATTTGTAGACAAATCTTTTTTTATAACATCACTTAATCCATGTCACCAGACCTAATGTGCTCATGTGTTAGGGATCAGAGAAAACAGGCAACAGAGCCTTACCTCTAAGCTGACATGTGTGTATGTGAGTAGACACATGTGTTTATACACTCTCAGTGCAAACATTTTGAAATTGTATTGAAATTTTGCAACTCCAATATGACGGTCTTCTGTCAACCGGTTGGCATCTGCAAGATCATTGTGATGAAATTTAATTGTGAGTCAGAGCATATTTTTTTAACTCATGCAATGATGGTTATTGTCCTAAATTGACAGGTGAAGTATGCTGTCCAGATGAACAGCACAATCGGGTTTCCACGGGCATCGGTGACTCCTGCTGTGGCAGAATGCCGTATTCCACCTCAGGAAACCAGATCTGCTGTGCTGGGAGGCTCCATGACAGCCACGGCCAGCAGTGCTGTGGTGGACAGATTGTGAGCAAGGATTTGGAGTGCTGTGGCGGAGAGGAAGAGGGTGTGGTGCACAGTCGCCGTCCAGGTAAGGGACCCTTGTCTACCTTCCAGTAGACTCTGAGGAGCAGAAAGGTTGAGAAACTTGCCTGAGATAGAAAACGCAGAAGTAATTAAAGCTCGTGTTAATTATATCTAATGCAATAATTAGGTGCATATTGAATAACAAATAAAAATGTAATCTCACATTTTTAGGTGCATGTGATGCATTTCATAAAAACAAGTCAAAACTTTCTTCCCTTTTTTTTAAAAAAATTGGTAGACTTTAGTTTTTCAGAGGAGTTTTAGATTTACAGAAAAACTGAGCTGAAAGTAGAGAGAGTTCCCATATTATACTCCCGCCCACCTATGCCTCCGTTTCCCCTATTATTAGCATCCTGTGTTAATCTGGTACATTTGTAACAATTGGTAGGCCAATATTGGTATATTATTATTAACTAAAGTCCGTATTTTACCTTAGGGCTCACTCTTTGTTTTGTAGTTTTATGGGTTTTGACAAAGGTAAAATGACACGTATCTACTATTATAGTATCTTACAGAATAGTGTCACTGCCTTAAAAATCCCCTGCGCTGCATCTGTTCATCCCTTCCTCCTCCTCCCAAACCCCTATGAACCACTGATCATTTACTGTCTCTATCATTTTACTTTTACATGATGTTATATAGTTGGAGTCATATAGTGTACAGCCTTTTAAGACAGGCTTCTTTGACTTAGCAATATACATTTTAAGGTTCCTCTATATCTTTTTGTGCCTTGACAGCTCATTTCTTTTTATCACTGAATAATACTGCATCACATAGATGTATCATAGCTTATCCACTTACCTATTGAAGGGCATCTTTGTTGCTTCCAGCATAATTATTGGCGACTATGAATTAGGCTGCTACAAACAGTTGAGTACAGGTATTTGTGTGGACATGTTTTCAACTCATTTGGGTAAATGCCAAGGAGCAAGATTTTTGGATTGTATGGTAAAGGTAAGAAACTGCCTTTGGCAGCTATCTTCCAAACTGTCTGTACCATTTTGCATTCCCACCAGCCATGAATGAGACTTCCCGTTGCTCCACACCCTTGCCAGCATTTGCTGTTGTCAGTGTGTTGGATTTTGGTCATTCTCATTGGTGTATAGCTGTATCTCATTGTTGTTTAAAACTCTTTCTTCTTGGAAAGTATCACATCGACCAAAAAACAAACAAACAAAAAACCGACCAACGAATGCATTAATCCAGGACCAAGAAAATAATCCATAGTAGGTACTGAGATTATACAAAATTATTATTGATGATAATATGTCCTAATTCTTTTATTCCCTTATTTTTCTGTAGCTATTAAATTAATATTAATAGCAATCATTATCACTGAGTACTTTCTATCTAGAAGGCATTATGCCCAATGTTTTATACATGATTACCTCAATTAATTGTTACTAAATAGGTACTGTTATTATCCACATTTTAAAAATGAGGAAACTGAGGCATAAAGATTAGACATTTGCTCAAGATTACTCAGTTAGTCAGATCTAGATTTGGGGATGCCTGAAAGTTATAAAATTTGGGGGACCCTTTTTAAGAAAATAAAATGTTGACGACAGAACAAAATATGAAAATAAATATTTATAAGGGGAAAATAAATTACAAAAGTTACAAGTCTGAAAAAAAAACCTAGTGGATCCTGCTAACATAAATATAGTATATTTGGATTATATAACTTCTGACATCTCTCTGTATTTTTTTCTGACATGTTTAACCTGCACCTTTGGTCGCCTCTTCATACAATAATGGCTTTATGTTGTAATTATCTACAGAAAGAACAGAAAGACAATTCATTCTTTCCTATCACATGGTTAATAAAAAAATATATTTTTAATTATTTAAAATTTAGAAAAGTGACTTTAACCTTCACAGCTCATTATTGTAATATTATGTAAATGTTTGATTTTTCTCAAATTTGGAGAACTATCTACTAAGGTCTTTATTAAGATTTTAGGGCATTTTAAGTTTTCTTGTCTTAAAGTGATTTACAATGACTTTTCTTAAATATTTCTTGAACTGGCAGCATCATTATCAGTTTTTCATGGATATCTTTATTGTATGACTGAATGTGAGTTATAGTTTATCATAGATACTACTATTTTATCTAAAAAATCAGTAAGAAGCTTATATTTTTCCAATATGAATGACTTCTTTTCATAGTTTATATTATCAGAGTAATCAAGTTACCTATTGCTTCAATCCTAGATCCACTGTTTTCTTTTACTAGCTTCCTGCTTTTGGTACAATCTGAAATTTATTTTGTTACAAATCTCTTCTTGATGTCAGAATATTTCAGTTGATTCCATTGTTCATTTTTACAGTTTTGTTTCATGTTATATTAATTTTTCTATCTGATCTTTCTCTTTCTTTGAATCTTTTCTTTATATGCATACAAGTTGGGAGTCTATAATTTCTCACAATCCTATGTTTCCACATTACCGTTAAAATGGCATATTCAAGCCTTAAACACTCTTTCATGGAAGTGGCTGAAATCATTTAAATTTAGCTACTGAACCCAAACTAAATATTCCCTGGACTCAGCATCCCTTTAGTTTGAGTTAAAAAACTATCCATGTTTACTCCAGTCTCAATTAATATGAGAACACATATGACAGAGGGTAAGTTAAGGAGACAAGAGACAGTGGCCATAGCAAATTACAGTTAAATATTATACATATGCAAATTTTATTAAAATATATAACCATGCTTGCCTTGGAAGGGGCTCATGCAAGCAAAGGGCCCCGAAAATCAAGCTTCCTTGGTTTCAAAGTAAATCTACCCCTGTAAACCAGTGCTTTTTGGAGCTCCAGCCACTCTCTGAGTAAGATTTCAGAACATCACAATATCTTGATGGAAATGAACTATGAACTCTCTGCTGTCTTTATATAATTTCTTCTCTTTTTAAAAACCATCAAAGAGTTATCTGTAATATAAGTAACAAAATTATTGTAGGATTATTGCTAAATACCATGTTCTTGTACACATTCTCTTGTATATAAAGTTCTGATGAAAACTATTAAAAAGAGCACTTCAATAACAAAAACTAAACAATCAACAAAATTCAAAGTATCAATCCTGGGTGTACCAGACTCTTGTGCCATCATAGGAACACTATATTTTCAGTATTTTTATAGTCCTTAAATAAAGAAGAAATGCTGAATTAAATTATTCATAAATTTCAATCCTCCCAGTGTGGAAAGACTCGTTTCTTTCTTTGAGCCAAAAAAAAATACCTGATTTGTAGTTTCTTATTTTATCTTTGGACAACCATCAAGTATGTTTCCAAGGCATTTACTATTCTATGAGGCTATAAATCACCCATCTGGATCCAGGCTGCATCCATCTTATGCCTTTTTTAATCCAACCCAGTGGGACATATTTAGAGGAAGATTTTAACATAAAGATACTGTCAAACTGGTTGACAGTCCCATGTCATTATGTTGATCTCTATCAACTTTATGTTAATCTCCATCAACTATCCAGAAAATAGTAACAGTGGATAGTTGTCCTACATGCAGAAGAATTAGATTTTAATTATAACATCTTATCAAACCCAGGAATTTAAGGATTACCTCCAACGGATGGCACGGGGCACCTGGATCTGCACTGTACGGTAACAAGAAAGTTGACTTTTCCAGGTAAAACAAAGAAACAAAAACAAGCAACAAAAATCAACCTCCTAAGAGCTTCGTTGAAAATGAATGCTGTATTAAATCATATCATACACAAGTGTCCAGGGTGGACACATAGTCGTTTCAGAAATTTCCCCCATGGATTGTAGACTTAATAGGTTAGTATTCTAAAGATAGCTGAAGTCCAGTCAAGAAATCCAGCCCAGTATCTCCCAGAAAATGCTCGTTGGCTAAAAGATGTACACACGCAGCAGGAGACAAACTACAACAACAAAAGGAGACAACATCCTGCGTTCGCTGTCTGCCAGGCCGAGCTCTGTCTGCTTCACAGACATCGACACGTTTAATCTTCACCGCGACCCTGTAACGTGGGTACTGTTAGTGTCTCCATTTTACAGAAGTACTTTTAACAGAAGTTAAAAGCCTCTTCCACATCACACATCTAGTAAGTGGCTGCATTACTTCGGGCAACGTGAACTGCTATTATACATGAAACCTCACATCTGTAAAGGCTCACCTACAATAGGGGTTCATGTCTCTCTTCTGTGATGACACTGCACTGGGAACATATCTTCAGATACATTCACATCCACAGCCATCCTGGCTGTTGAAAGTGTTGCTGTTTTCAACAGGTAGTTTCTAAGGTCACCTGGGAGTTTGTATCCAGTGCTGCAGGCAGAAGAGGAAAAGAGCACGCAATAACAGGGAGGTTTTTTCTTTAATTGGCCAGGTCTAGAAATAGCAAAATTTTTTATCAACATTTCATTGACTAAAACTCAGCTCTCTGTCAACATCTAAATGCAAGGGAGGCTGGGAGATGTGCCCGTGAATCTCTTGCCACTGTGACTAATACAAGTTGCTAACTCCATCCATAGAGTCCGTGCCCTTAACCTTTCTGAGCGTTCTGATACCTGAACAAGCATTGGATACTGTCCAGCCCAAACCGTATCAGTGTTCATCCAGTCTGATGAGCAGGCCCAGTATAGTATGGCTACCAAGCTGAGAACATTTTCTAGAGGACCAGAAGAAATGTAGGCGTTGACTGCACGCCGCACGTGTGCCAAAGTTAGAGGAAAGGGTGCTGTGTATGCGTGCAAGGCTCTGGCCTGGGACTTCTGAGGGCCTCCGAGACCTTTGCAGATGGTCGGTGAGATCAAAACTGTTTTCATAATAATACACACTGAGCTATTATATGCCTTTTTCACTCCCACTCTCTCACAAGTGCACAGAGGCATTTTCCAGAGGTTACGTGACATGTGATACTACAACAGTTTTTTTTTTAATTTTTTATTGAAGTGTAGTTGATGCTCAATATTATATCTCATAGGTATACAGTATAGTGATTCACAATTTTTACAGAGTA